AGAATACCGTGATTTGATAATGAATCATTCACAATAAAAAGTAATAAATACAGCATTTAAATATTTACATGTAGAAGATGCCATGACGGGATTTGGGTTGGTCATGTTACTTCAATATGATCACCTACTGTACATATCAACACAATAGGGGTGTAACGGTACACAGAAGTCACAGTTCGGTACGTACCTCGGTTTTTGGGTCACGGTTCGATACGAGTTCGGTACAACAGGAAATGTATTTTTTCATTTATTTTGAGCAGACAGTAGTGCTACTTACATGCAAGCATGAGCAGTTGTTCTTGATTTGAATTAAGATTGTGGCATTTCAAGATTTAAAGCAAAAACAGAATGGTCTGACTTTAGATCTGTGAAATTATGCTACATAAGACACCTGTAAAAAAACAAAAACAGCAGATGGACTGAATGAAAATGCATATTTATTCTCTGACAGCAGGTGGTGCTATATTACACTACTTAGTTTAAAGGGGACCTATTATGCTCCTTTTTACAAGATGTAAAATTAGTCTCTGATGTCCCCAGTGTGTGTATGTGAAGTTTTAGCTCAAAATACCCCACAGATAATTTTTTATAGCTTGCTGAAATTGCCACTTTTAGGGTATGAGCCAAAACGCGCCATTTTTGTGTTTGTCCTTCTGGAATGACTGCCTATGACTGACTGTATTCGCCGTCTGACTGCATGAACGGTGACGGTTCGGGACGAATACATGCTCTGTTACACCCCTACAACACAATGTGAATGCATATAATTAAGGGGCTTTAATGTTATTTTCTGAAGCTTTTTTACCTTAAACTCTCCAAAGTTGAGCAGGCCAGGCAGCTGGAATGATCCCCATTTATTGAAGTTGATCCCAGAACGAAAGAAGTTGAGTGTAAAAGTGGCAGACATGGAGCAGAACAACTTTAAGACAGAAGAGAGACAGAGAGAGATAATTATAAACTAAACTAAACTAAACCCCAAAATACATGACCAAACTGTATATTCACATACCACTTTCCATGTGAGAGCCTGGTTCCAGAAGGACGACCCCTCCTCCAGACTGAAGAGGGTGCCCCCTATAGGTGCCCCAAAGGCAGCCGCAACTCCAGCCGCTGCACCCGCTGACACGAAATCCCTCTTGTCCCTGAACATAAATCAAAACTGACCCTATTAACTTGATTAATACATATTCCTGGTATCACTGCAGATGTTTTAATATATATTTTTCATAAAATTATTACTCAATTATAATAAGTAGAATAATATACAACAATTCTCTAAAGAAAAATGTTTCTTCATAAAATTGTATTAAAATGTAATATCTTGACTAGGGATGCAAGATACCAGTATCGGTATATATCTGACATTATCAAGCTGAATTTGTTCTGACACAGTTTAACTCAGTTCTTGTCATATGTTATTACCATTTTCTAAACTATAGTGAATAAACTGCGATAATGTGAGAAATGTTGAAGGTGTCTGAATAAATTATGGTTTGACTATCTATTTGATAAATGAAGTTAACCAACAAACATTATACATACTCTTTTGGTTTCTGTACCCAATATTTAAAAAAAATTTACAAATGCAATGAAAATATTGGTATCGGCAAGTACCAAAAATAAAAGTATCGTATCGGGCGGGTACTGGAAAAAGTAGTATCGTGCATCCCTAATCTTGACCTGACTTCACCTAAGCTACATGTGCTACTGGATCACGCATAACTAATCTGTTTAAACATTTGGATTTTCCATTTTTGGTCCAATCAATTATAAATGGATAAAATATTTATCCTGCATGTTTTCCCCCTTTTTTTGTCCATAAGGGAATAGATCACAATACATCTTATTTCACGGTATGATACATTTTATTTCACGATAACAATATAGCTTTTTTAGTAATACAAATTTTTGTTATTAAAAATAAGACGAAGAAGCAAATTACAAACGCAATAGAACAAATAAATATGAAATAAACTTTTAATTATTCAGCTACAGTAGGCTAGGTTTATTTAACGTGTAGTAAGAAATATTACAGAAATTGAATAAAGTGTATAAATAAAACACTGCATAGTGTCTTCACTGTATCAATCAAACATGAACTGATTATTATTAAAAATCCAGTGATTCAGTCAAGTGCAGTGAGTGATTGACATTAACATTAATAATGACAGACAGCAGCAGGTAAAAAAGGCTGCTGTCCCTTTAAGACAGACTGCAAGAATCCAATATACTGACACCCAACTGTTTACGTTTATTTAACACATAATTGACTGTTTATGCGAATACTGTGTGCGTATTTGACCATTCAAGCACAATACAACATGAAAGAGATCTGTTTTTCGTGATCGCATGCTGTAGAGAGAGGAGCTTTCATACCGCAGAATACACGATATAGCAAAATCTCTAACAATTCACACTTTATTCCGCGGTAACGATATATATATATATATATATATATATATATATATATATATATATATATATATATATATATATATATATATATATACACATATACACACCGTCATACCGCCCAGCCTTAGTTTGAATGTCACTAATGCTTCACATTCATTTTGTGCAATGTAATGAATGATTTAGTGGTTGCTGTGATGTAGTGCTCACCTGTCACTACGGAAATAGGGAAAGTGAAAGCGGATCTTCTTGAAGGTGATACTCTGAAACTAATCAGACAGACAAGCATGCGTTCATTAGACCAGAAAAAAAAATACAGTAGCAGCATTTAAGGTTTTAACTTAAATTTACAGTTAAATACCGTAATTTCATTAACTGATATAATGTTAATATACCAACCCACTGAAGTACTGAAATCTGTTTTATACCTTTGTAAACACTGCACCAAAAGCAGGTGGTGATGGGAAAATCACATGATGAACCAAAGCCTATCACAAGCAGCTTTTAAATATTAACACATATAGAAGGTGCACAGTGTTATTCACACAAACACTAAACACCATCAGGGTAACACACGAAACAGAAATAATGCAATAAACATTAATTGAACAACATTAGATGTAACATACAACCCTAATGTACACAACTGATAAGAAAAAACTAAGAAGAAACAGTTATTTCAACAACAAAAAAAACATCAAATTTGAAATGTAACGCAGGGAATTCTGGCAATTTACGGTTATTCACTGTAAATGACATGATCTTTTTCCACTTCCAAAAATGGTATACTACCATAAAATTACATGTCCTATACAGTTTTTCACCGTATATAGTAGGGGAACTTACCATTAACCATTTAACAGGTTTTTTATTGTAGCATTTTTACAGTCTATTGCCGTTAATTTCACGGTCATTTGTTTACAGTGTATGACTGTGACAAGAAATATGACGCATAAACAAAACACCTGGGTACATTCAGAACACAAAATCATCAACCATCAGAAGTACTGTCAACCTCAACAATTTTAAATAGCAGAACTGTTAAAGATTAGTCAAATCAGTACTTTGTAAATTACTACGTTCAAGTTGAACACATGAGCATATGGAGGAGTACCTGAGGAAGCCCTGCTCCTAGTATCGCTCCACTGTGAATCATTGGTCCCTCTTTACCCACAAACAATCCTGAAACAAAAACAACACTGAATCAGCCTACAACAACTTCTAAAAGGCATTTCACTGTAATCTGGTTGCATTTAATTAATTGACGTTACCAGAATAAGGCCAGTTTACACACGTTACTTAAAAATCTGAATCAAAAAGTGGCCATCACCATTAATATTCTAATACAGCACAGAGCCAGAGTGTATTCTAATCTTTGTCTGTGCTGATACAGACTGTTTCCCTCATCATTACCTCCAGCAACAGCGAACAGGACTCCTGTGACCTTACATATGAAGGTCCGCAGCCGCACAATGCCTGGAATCTTTACTCCGTTCAGGTAACTTTTAATTTCTGGGATACCAGACCCAGCTGCAACAGGCTATTACACAGGAGAAACAGACTGATTATATACTCTCCCCACACAAAAACATCATTATTATTAAAATATTAAATTGCATGAGAGACTTAACTTACACTGATTTAATATTCTTATAGTATTAAATACAGTGTTGATATATATATATTTTTTTTACCTTTTAATTTGATATGCACTGGCAGTTAAAAGCCTGACACAATTAAGATTTTTTTTTTTAAAGGGTCATATGATTTTTTTGACAATTTTTCCTTTCTCTTTGGAGTGTTACAAACTCTTGGTGCATAAAGAAGATCTGTAAAGTTGCAAAGACTAACGTCTCAAATCCAAAGAGATATTCTTTATAAAAGTTAAGAGTCAACCACGCCTACCTAAAACGGCTCGTTCTAACACGCCCCCACATGTCTACATCACTATGTGGGAAGATTTGCATAATGCCGCCCAAATGTTCACGCAAAGATAGAAGGTGTAACTTTTATTCTCGCTGTAGTATTGTTGCTGGCGCCGCCGCAGCCATGTTGTGAAGGTGCTGTGTGTTTCGTTGTGAAAGCGAAACTTTGTTTGGTCTTCCAAAAGCGGATGATATCTGCTTCATCATGCCTAGAGCTGATCCGTGCTGGTCGCTGAGGGAATACATCAACTTCGCGCTGTGGATCGCCGGATCGGCTTTCACCGTGGACGCCTTTCACCGTGGACACAGACTGTAAATACGTTTCATATTTAAAGGATTTGCCACTGACGATTCAAACGCGAGTTTTGGGCAGTGTAGAGTAGTGCTTGTTGTTTGTCATTTCTCCGATCACAAATGCAGACATGGTTTTATGTTTACGCGGCGCGATGCAACGCAACGCATAAAAAGACAGTATAAGTCATTTTAATCCATAATTATGTCTCCACTGGATGCAACAAATGCTTAGTTTATAATGGGTTTTAATGTTTTTGTCTCGTCGCGCCGGGACACGGCATCACAATATGGTGAGGGGTGTAACATTTCCATCTCACGCTTGAGGTATTCGGCCAATCACAACACACTGGATAGCTGGCCAATCAGAGCACACCTCGCTTTTCAGACCGATGAGCTTTGTAGAAATCGACGCGTTTCAGAAAGGCGGGGCATAGAGGAGAAACAATAATGTACAGTAAGTGGAAAATAATGTGGTTTTTGAACCTTAAACCGCATAAACACATTTCATTACACCAAATACACAAAATAATGTTCTTTTTAGCAACATCATATGACCATTTTAATGTTTTTTTCCCACTCTCTTATGCTCACCAAAGGCTGCACTTATATGTTCAAAAGTGCAGTAAAAAAAAAAAAAAAAAAGAGTAACACTGTGAAATATAACTACAAATTAAAATAACTGCTTTCTATTTTAAAATATTTAATTTATTCCTGTGGTGGCAAAGCTGAATTTTCAGCAGCTATTCTGAGCATAGGAGACTTCTTAAAAAATATATATATATATATTAATTATTCCACACTAAAGTCAGCCCTTCTTGATTCAAATTATGTCTCGTCTTGGAATGATATTCAATATATAGCAATAGAAAAAAAGTTTCAGTTTAATTTAAGTTTATTGCCATATCAGCTTCACAGGCTATTTCATGGCAAATATTATACATTAGAAATATAGTAGAACACAATACAAATAAATAAACAAATTAATTAATAAAAACAATTATAAAACAAAGTATTGCACATAACTTTCTATAAAATACACTTTAAATTTACTTTTAGCAATAGATAAAAAATCTAGCAGTCTAATAAATCTGGCAACGTGTATTACAATGAATGTTGGCTCTTTGATGATTTGCTTTGTTCCCATTTTGTAAGTCTCTTAAGATAAAAGCTTCTGCTAAATGCAGTAATGTAAATGTAAATCAGTGAAATATTCAAAATCAATGAGCGTTTTTTCTGGAGTTTAATGTAAGGTGCTAGTCTCTGGTGTGCCGTGTAATGACTTTTAACATATCAGCCTGAGAAGTTGTTACCTCAACGAGCACCAGAACGCTGGAGATGAATATGAACATCACATTGAGAGCCAGCAGCTCCAGTAAGGAGAGAGCTAGACAGCCATTCTCACTGCATTCCTCCACAGCTGATGCACGTCAAGGACTCCACTCAGCAAATAGTGCAGCATTACACAAACCAAAACACAACGCAAGCACTGAGCAGAAAAGATACATTGTCCAACCAAGCTGAACTTTAGCTGAGTGAAGAGCCGCACGAAGAAATCAACAAACAGGCCAGTCTGAAAAAGAAAAGAAACCAAAAATATCACCATTTCACTGGACCACGGAAATAGTAGGGAGGTGAAACTCATCAACTAATGACCAGTATTTGACCTCCAAAATAAAAAATAAAAAAAATATATATATTTTTTTTAATCTTAATGTTCCAAAACAGGCTTAATTTTCTATAATGATATTTATGTAATTTAATACTAATTAATTAATTAATTTGGGGGGGGATGAAGTACGTTTGAATTTTAAATATATTTAAAATAGTGCTGTCAAACGATTAATCGCGATCAATCGCATCCAAAATAAAAGTTTGTTTACATAATATATGTTTGTGTACTGTGTATATTTATTATAAATACACACATGCATGTATATATTTAAGAAAAATATGTTACGTTTATATATTTAATATATGGTATCAATTATATGAATATTACTATATACATGTAAATATTTTCAAAATATATACATGCATGTGTGTGTGTATTTATATATACATAATAAATATACACAGAACACACATATATTATGTAAACAAAAACGGTTATTTTGGATGCGATTAATCGTTTGCCAGCACTAATTTAAAAAATAAAGTTTAAATATATGTGTAGGCATTTGTATGTACTAACTGTAAACACTACATAACACCAAATAATGCTAATATTGTGGCCACAACATTTTTCCATCATAACTGCCAGGCTCTGAGACTTGATATAAGTGACTTCAGAGAGTATAAACTAAACTGATCAATTTATTGCAGACTAGGGCTGCACGACAAATCGCATGCGATATTTAACGCGCATCTTGTCTACCTCAACGAGCACCAGAACGCTGGAGATGAATATGAACATCACATTGAGAGCCAGCAGCTCCAGTAAGGAGAGAGCTAGACAGCCATTCTCACTGCATTCCTCCACAGCTGATGCACGTCAAGGACTCCACTCAGCAAATAGTGCAGCATTACACAAACCAAAACACAACGCAAGCACTGAGCAGAAAAGATACATTGTCCAACCAAGCTGAACTTTAGCTGAGTGAAGAGCCGCACGAAGAAATCAACAAACAGGCCAGTCTGAAAAAGAAAAGAAACCAAAAATATCACCATTTCACTGGACCACGGAAATAGTAGGGAGGTGAAACTCATCAACTAATGACCAGTATTTGACCTCCAAAATAAAAAATAAAAAAAATATATATATTTTTTTTAATCTTAATGTTCCAAAACAGGCTTAATTTTCTATAATGATATTTATGTAATTTAATACTAATTAATTAATTTGGGGGGGGATGAAGTACGTTTGAATTTTAAATATATTTAAAATAGTGCTGTCAAACGATTAATCGCGATCAATCGCATCCAAAATAAAAGTTTGTTTACATAATATATGTTTGTGTACTGTGTATATTTATTATAAATACACACATGTATATATTTAAGAAAAATATGTTACGTTTATATATTTAATATATGGTATCAATTATATGAATATTACTATATACATGTAAATATTTTCAAAATATATACATGCATGTGTGTGTGTATTTATATATACATAATAAATATACACAGAACACACATATATTATGTAAACAAAAACGGTTATTTTGGATGCGATTAATCGTTTGCCAGCACTAATTTAAAAAATAAAGTTTAAATATATGTGTAGGCATTTGTATGTACTAACTGTAAACACTACATAACACCAAATAATGCTAATATTGTGGCCACAACATTTTTCCATCATAACTGCCAGGCTCTGAGACTTGATATAAGTGACTTCAGAGAGTATAAACTAAACTGATCAATTTATTGCAGACTAGGGCTGCACGACAAATCGCATGCGATATTTAACGCGCATCTTGTCAGAAAGACGGTTCTGTAATCAGCGGTAAACACATTGAGCAGCATTAACTACACAGAGCCGTTGTTCACTGACGAGCTGCGCAAAACCACGTTCATATTTGCGCGTTAAATATCGCATGCGATTTATCGTGCAGCCCTATTGCAGACTTTCTCATAATCGCGCCATTAGTTCTTGTTTCTCATATCGTTCTTTTATTATATCCCAGTGACATATAATATCTATAATTTGCTATAAATCTCATTCTCCAGTACACTCTAAAAAAGGCTGGGTTAAAAACAACCCAGTGCTGGGTAAAATAGGGACAAACCCAGCGGTTGGGCTGTTTTGACCCAGTGGTTGGGTTACTACCCAGAAGGTTGGGGTAAACATTTAACACAACCGCTGGGTCAAAACAGCCCAATTGCTGGGTTTGTCCCTAGTTTACCCAGCACTGGGTTGTATTTAACCCAGCATTTCTTAGAGTGTATGGTATAAAAACATCATGCACCATTGTATTGGTGCCATGACCCTTTTTCAAAACGACTTCGGATGCATAAACCACCCCAAAGCTCACCAGTCCTGTTGACACTCCGATCGCAAAAACCAAAATCCACTTTATCGCTTCATACTTTCTGGCTTTCTGTAAAAGAAATGAGATAATACACTTGGCAAACAGGGACTTGAGATCATATGAATATGATAAATGAAGACATCACATCACACGTTTTACCTTATTATCCAACCCCTCCAAAACCTCCAGGAATGGCTCATTTATGCATCGGTCATAATCCAAACTCTGAAATGCCAAATATGAATATATATTCATATATTTTTTTTTCCCAACATATCCGACAAACGATCATGTTTCAAGTCTCCCGTCCATTACTCACTGACCTCATAGTCTTTTCTCGGCAATATTTCATCCTCGTCTTCTCTGGTTTCACCCAGTATTGTCTAACAAGCAAAAGGCAGCAGCAATAATATCAGGATCTCAGTCCTCAAAATGAACAGATGGCCTGTGTCGCCTCGAAACAATGGGGTGACTGTTTCTGAGCACACTTCTGACACTTCACTTTATCATACCTAGATTAGTGCTCGATTCAAAAGATCGGTCAACAATATTAGCATGACTTTACACTGATAAAGAACACATTAACGATATTAAATCAGGTTAATCATCATTGTATCAAGAAATACAGGGTGTCTCATATAACCTGACGAGACGATGATAAGGATTTGGTGATATAATGATATAATGCCCAAATTACAAGACGCCCTAACGACATATTGCCCAAAACTGCTGCACTGGCCAAAAATGAGCAACAATATCGTCTAGACAAAGACCAGACTAGATTCAGAAACCGTTAGACCGACGGGTTTGGTCGCTAGCCTCGTCGTTAACGAACACTAGACGCACATCAGGCTGTTTAACGTTACCGGGAATTTGGGTGGAGAACAACAGACGGACAAGCATAGTTTACAGCGTCAGAATGAACTCACGTTTCATTCAACAAGGCGTTTCGCGTTAGGAAACACATAACACACATAAAACATTGTATACCAGCTCCTCTGGTGTTCTTGTGTCGCCTTCGCTGCAGCAGCCCTGACAACACAACCCGCCTCCGCAGCCCGCCATCGTCTTCAGCGCACACCGCGAGAGCGCAGCTGATCACATGACCAGCGCTCAGGCCAGCGGAAGCATTCAAGCGCGCACCAGATGCGCAGCTTTAACGCAGACACGAGGGACTCAAGCGCGCACAGATGCGCAGTTTTAACGCAAAATCTGTATGCGTCAGTATTTACGCAATCCACTTATCTATAATATTTAGACAGTGCTGGGATGATTACTTATAAATTGTAGTCTGTTACTGATTACAAATTACATGACGAAAATTGCAATCAGTAATGTAATTTAGGTTACTAATTTTAGGTAATGTATTCTGACTACTTCGGGATTGCTTTGAGATAGGGCTGCACGATTAATCGAATGAGATTGTCATGCGCATTTTGTCAGTAAAGCCGGTTCTGTGATCAGCAGTAAATCTTCATCACGTGCTTTCAGATGGAGCAGCGTTTACTACTAGGCGATACCACTTATTTTGTTTTCGATACGATACCGATATTTTTCAAGGCAGTATCGTAGATATCGATACCGATTCGATACTTCTGAACTAAACTTTTAAATTATGAAATGTATTAAATTATTAAATGACTAAGAGTAAAATGGGTAATGATACGCCTTATTTGTAACTTATTAGGTTATATTTTTGTGTACACATGGTTCCCGTTCATTGATTCAATGTGACTAATAAACACACGACTACGGCAATATACGGAGTTATTATTATTATGATTTTCATTAAAATAAAGTATATTTATAATGCAATGCCTTTATCACTGCTTAAATACTATGAAATATGTTGCGTGCCTTATTCTGTGTAAGAAGCCACATCATCTCACAGAAGGATTTATTTCAAACACTCGATGGACGTTATGAAGTGAGTTCAGAGTAAAAACATGTTATTAAATGTGGTATTTTCACGTGCTTTCAGATGGAGCAGCATTTACTTCACAGAGCCGTAGTTCACTGAGAAGCTACGCAAACAGCTGTCATTATCGTGAACGATTTCTTCGATTTCAGAATCGCGCGATTTTTTTGCGTAGCTTGTGAGTGAACTACTATGTGTAGTAATAGTAGGGATTTCCTGGGTTTCTTCTGCAAGGCGTATTTGGAGTTTCAGCGCGAGAGCGCCCTCTGGCCTTTGGATGGAGATTTACTGCCGATCACAGAACCGCGCTTCACTGAAAGGTACGCACGACAATCGCAGCTTCTGTCCAAGATTTCGCGCTTCACTGAAAGATACGCACGACAATCGCAGCTTCTGTCGAAGATTTACTGCGCGCTTGCCTGAAAGGTACGCACGACAATCGCAGCTTCTGTCGAAGGTTTACTGCCGATCGCAGAACCGCGCTTGCCTGAAAGGTACGCACGACAATCGCAGCTTCTGTCGAAGGTTTACTGCCGATCGCAGAACCGCGCTTGCCTGAAAGGTACGCACGACAATCGCAGCTTCTGTCGAAGGTTTACTGCCGATCGCAGAACCGCGCTTGCCTGAAAGGTACGCACGACAATCGCAGCTTCTGTCGAAGGTTTACTGCCGATCGCAGAACCGCGCTTGCCTGAAAGGTACGCACGACAATCGCAGCTTCTGTCGACGGTTTACTGCCGATCGCAGAACCGCGCTTCACTGATATTAAACTTTTATTAACTATTGAAATATTGTTGAAATAAGTTGAAATATTAACTTTCAATCTCAGGGGGACTTGAAGTAAATATTTTAGGTCAAGGGGATTTGACTGCCAAGTTTGGGAATCTCTGCATCACATGAACAAAAATTAATAAACATGAAAACAGCAATGACATGGACAAAGTCTTCAGAGTTTTAGATATGTTTGTCTGTTTAGTAACTTGCGTAATTATTCATCATGGTATAATTGACTGAGAGGTGCGTTGTCCCCAAATTCAAGCATGGATTGCAAATTAATTCGCATGGCATTTACACGGCCATTCTATACTGTGAATATTCAAAGCTGAATGATATGACACAAAGTAGACCTTTTTTTAGAAGGGAACATTTTAAAAGAGAGAGAGAGAGAGAGAAGAAGAAGAATTAGGGAGAATCAATCATTTATGAATAATTTACTGCAATTGTGTGAATAATTTGTAATCATGTAATCAATAAAAAAGTAACTGTAGTCTGATTACGAGTATTTTAAAATGTAATTTTATGTAATTAGGAGGAGCCTACTTAGTTTTTGGAATCCAGATTACATGTAATCAGTTACTACCCAGCTCTCTATAGACTACTGATCTTTAACATATAGACCACTGACTACTGGGCTGCGTTCAGCCCCGACAAAAACGGTGCAAAACGTTTTTTAAACGGAAACGGTGGTGCGTTGAACACCCGATGACGCAAGAGTTGCAACTATGGCAGCTGAGAAAGCCATTCTTTGTGTTCTTTCTGAAGAATTTGCGGAGCCTGATGAAATCGGTATAAATACGTGTTTAATACTGCAAAATACGCTCGATGGTACAGTCATTGCCCTTGACCTCCAGAATAAAAGAGAACATCCCAATCGAGTGAAGGGATTTGTGCAAACTGTGGTTCCTAATTATTGTGATCCAACATTTGCCTCGCATTTCAGGATGAAAAGACAAACATTTCAGGTGAAGGATAATCCACTTCTTACCTCCGAGACTGTGTTATGATCTATGACCTTATTATTTTTATTGTGAGTATTCGGCTTATCATTATTGCTGATCACTGTTGTTGTGCTATGATATTGTAATATTTACCATTATATAATCAGAGGGGTATAAAACAGTTTATGAAAGTGTCACTCCACAATACAATAGCAAAATATATAAATATAGTATAGTATTTTTATGTTACATTAATCAGTATTTAGCACACCTTACTAAGGAAAGGATATGGACCAGACGGCATTACAATTACTAAATGATATTTAGACAGACTTAAAGAAGTTCCAGATCTATACTTGTGCTCTTATTATTTCAGTTATTTTGCCTTTAATGTAAATAAACGTGTAAACAATATACTTGCTCTTGTGAATTTATTTGGATGTTAATTACATTGTGCTAGCTGTCTCTTTAATACCGCATGGTTTATATACATGTTGCTGCTGATTGGGCTGACATGTTTGACACACCCAGCAAACAAGAGAAAACGCATCTCAAACCGTTGCACACCGTTTCCAGGAAACATGTCGGTCAAACCGGAAACCGTAGCAAAACGGTGCACACCGGTTTGAGCTTGAACATGCCCCACAGCTATAATATATAGATCATAATATATAATATATAGATCAGTGATGGAAGAAGCCCTTTTCCGACCGCCACATACGAAAAACCAATGCTTTAGTAAATTATCATTATGACAAAAAAGTCAACATAACGAGATAAAGGGTCGAAATTATGACATAAATTATAATTATGACACGAAAGGTCAAAAACATGAGACACTAAGTCATTAGTTGGCATGCCATCTCATGATTACGACTTAGTATCTCTTAATTTCGACTTTTTATGTCAGAATTTCGACTTTTTATTTCATAATCATGTGTCCACAGTGGGCCATAGAGCTGTGGGCCATGCATTTGTGGGGGTTGGGAGTGTGGATGCGTTGTGTATTACAAATATATCATGTGAAATTAAACAAAAGACTTCAAATGACAGAGAAGAGTTAGGATAAATCTATTAACTTTTCTTTTTTTCTGTGTGGACGTGCGCGTATCTGCGCGTGTAGCTTATTTAATTATTAATGAGTGCATGTGGTGTGTTTACATCATAAGCGATGACAGACCCTGCATCCAATGGGAAGGTCGTATGGTAGAGAGTGGGCGTGCCCTGCACGAAGGGGGCGTGGTCTGTCGATCACACGCCAGCCTCTTTGTCGTCCATGCTGTCCGCACGCGCTGTTTAGCAAGAGCTCGGGTACAGCGCCGCCCTGGGACTGCACTCTCCTCTCATAACTCCTGGAGGATTGGGAAAAGGTTGAAGGTAATGGAGGAAAGGCGTTTTGTAAATACTATTACTGGGTCTGCATGAGTGTTTCGGTTTCGTTTGGGCTAATTAAAGGGGCCGGTGCTGTCACGCGGAACCGCATGTCCCGGTCGAGCATCAAAAGATGCACACATTAATCCTAATGCGAGTTATCATGTCATATAAATCCGTTTGCTGCTTGCATTGATTGTCTGTTAAAAAATAGTGTCTTTCAAAAGCAACATCCTTATATGTAAAGTATGCGCGTTATGGACTCATAAGTCTTCATGCAAAAATAGGATGGTCATGAATGATCAATCAGAATAATGCATGTTATTCATAGAGCGCTTTATAAGTTACTCTATTATGCTTTTTTAACATTTGCATGTATTACTAACTATTTACTTTTATGAGACGTGCGAGATCGGGATGAATTAATAAACTAATACTAAAATACTAAATATTTTGGTATAACACGTGCATATACCATAAGAGTGTCATTATCAAATTTGATTGTTATATTGACTTTGATGCAGCAACGTTAGAGTGATTGTGGTTAAGAGACAATTAGTACTGATTATTTTAGCTGTCAGTAATAAATGTTCAAGTAGTAAACTTTAAATTAAAAATGTAAGTGGAACATTATAATGATAATGTGTTAAATGCTGTTTACTAAAAATATATTAATCATCTAATATCTTCAATCACATATGTTACTGAAATCATATTTGTACACGATTTATAGATTCAAATGTCATGTGAACAGGATGAGAGCATACTGTACTCTGGATACATTGCAGTGGGACTGACTTTGCGTTTCCACACAGACAAATTGTTTGGAAGTCATTACGTCTGCAATTTTTTCATCAAATTGAACTGAAAATGCAAAATAACAGTTTTTATATGCAGGATTATAGCTGGATTCGGTACACTTATGAGATAAATTATGAATAATACTGTTGAAACAATTTTTTTTATAAAATCGTGAATACCATTTTACTTACTACATTTAAAAAAAATAGCTAAATATAGGCATACTGTGCAATATTGAATAAGTGGTAAACTACATAGGCAGTGTCATTAATGTCTATAGAGTTTGGAGACATTAAAAAAGAAAACCTAGCTTGATGGGATCATGTTGTGAAAAGGTTTGTGGGGTGGTTTGCATTTCCCCTGGGCTCAGGAAACATGGTGAACCAAAGAGCGGATGTAGGTTGGCAGTCCTCTAAGAGCGACTCTAGCGGGGTCAGTAACAGTGGAGAGAGCTCCAAAGAGAGCTCCAGGTGCTCGACCCCGGTACTGGACACCGACCGCACCGACCGGCTGCGGGACAAGATGAAGCGGCGGATTGAGTCCGGGGACCACTGGTTCTCCCTGGAGTTCTTCCCACCTCGCACAGCGTCTGGAGCCGTCAATCTCATCTCTAGGTAGGAAAGCAAAAATGAATTATAAATAATATATATATATATATATTCACCCAAGATTCACCAAGGGATTACATATATTATATATGGGTTGAACAAGATTATGTGAACACCCAGGGTTTAATATGAATACTTAATATGCAAAAAAGTCTGTCAAAAGTCTGAGATTTTTTCTTTCAAATTTGCTTATTTTATCAGGCTCCTATGAAAAAAAAAAAAAAATAGGAGCCTGAAAAAAATGCTCATTTCAAAGAAAAAAGGTTTTTGCATCTTAAAGCCTTCATATAATTTGCATCGGTTACAGTATTCAAAACAAAAAGAAAAACAGTTGTGTTCCTGGAGGCTCACAGCCCTGGCAAGTTTAGCTTCAACCTTAATTAAATGCACCAGATCCAGCTAATCAAGTCCTTGGTTACAGGTATGGTTTTGGAGCAGGTTGGAACTAAACTAAAACCAAAGTGAAAGATAGGGTCTGTCGGGCACTAGGAATGATTGTGTCCATGCAAACATTAACCCCCATGACACTCATTTCCTCAAAAACCAACCACAGAGAATTTCACAAACCTGACATCCATGAAAGAGCTGTTTTGCTAACACTTTGACCAACATCTGCCCTGGCCAGATAAATCACTGACTTATCTAAACCACTGTGGCTAGTTTTGGAAAGAAGCCGATCCACCAACATCTCTAAAGAACCTGGCAGATGTTCTGATAGAAAACATTCAACTGGAGATTAGGGTTGGGCCGATGGACGATGGCTGACAGACATCACGATGTCAAGCTGAAGTGTACTACGGAAACCCTAAAGGGAATAAATAGCCTACGAGATGGGAGGATAAAAAAAATATTTCAATACTTTTTCTCGCAATTATATCATTGGGTAAGAATAGACGACTGTATATAAATTGCGGGCATCGGGAAACCGCTTTCGATTGTGCGCTCTCATTTTACTTTCACTTTCACGTTTGAGATTAGCGATCACAAGGACTCTATACTATGGAGCGGCAGTACCTACCACACATTTGACAAGATTAGATGTTTGTCATTGGTGCTCAGGATCTGCAAATCATTCGCCATCCTCCTATCAGACATTTCTCTTTACTCTGTGTATGTGGTAAGGGAACTTTCATGTACTGTAATGCAACAGGCTACCGCTAGCAAGCGGCTAACCTTTTAGTGGCTCCATATAACACGTTATTTATTTGTTTCATGCTTCGTGCACCCCCCACCCGATGTCAACATCCATCACGATGTTTCTCTGTAGACATCGTCCGATGCCAATTTGGTAGACATCACCCAACCCTACTGGAGACTATTTAAAGGCAGGGTGGGTGATTTGGTTTAAATGCATTTTTTGTTAAGATGGTTGAAAGTCTCTTCACATCCCGATAGCAATCACTAAGTTAAGTGGTCAAAATGTATTTATATGTATTTATATCGTCTGTGGAAGGGGTACGACCATAAAATGTTCGTCCAATCACATCCAAGGATTGCGATGGGCCGTCCTACCTGCAAACTTCTGACACCATGTTGATCCGTCACCAGCACGTTTTATTACTCTATTGCAGACCGAACGAGAATGGAAGGTGTTATTATTGTAATGTTAAGAGCTTTGTACTGAAATGTTTTCTCACCGTTGAATGAGACATGAGCTAATCTGACAGCGTTGAATTCAATCCTCCACCAGCGCCGTCTCTCATCATGTCGCTGGTTAGCCTCTGCCGGTGCGCGGTCATGTGTTTTGCAGGAGGCGTGGCTTTGGAGAGTGATTTGCAGAGAGGGTGGGATCTTATGCTTTCAAAGCCAGCTTGCTATTGCTAGTCTCTCTGAAATCCCCTACTCTACCTTTAAAAGTTGTTTAAATCTATTCTAAGGAGGCTGGAAGCTGAATTAAAGGAAAATGGTGGTAAAATACCTTATAAAAAAGTAACACTGCCTATTTCCCAGGTGTTCACATTATTTTGCCCAACCCCTATATATTTATTTTGCCTTGGTAAAAGATAAATTCTCATTACCGTTATGCAAAAAAGAAGGGTGTTTGTTTTTAGAATGAATGGTCTTTTTGTTCTTTGTGTGTTAGATTTGACCGGATGGGTTCTGGAGGTCCGCTCTTCATCGACGTCACTTGGCATCCGGCTGGAGATCCGGGCTCAGATAAAGAAACGTCCTCCATGATGATAGCAAGCACAGCGGTCAATTACTGCGGCCTGGAGAGCGTCCTGCATTTGACATGCTGCAATCAGACGAAAGAGAAAATAACAGCCCATTTAAATAAAGCCAAGCGGCTCGGCCTAAAGAATATCATGGCCCTGAGAGGAGGTATGAACGGTGACTGATCAGAAATCTGTTACTTTGGTCCAAACCACACATTTTCCAAAAACAAATAAGCTCGATTTCAAACCCTTCTAAGGCGGCATCCTAATAGTCATGGATCCTCATAACACTCGTGAATGGCAGCAACAGTTGCTACATGTAAAATATTTGGTAAAATAGTCAATTTTTAAGTAGATTGTACTTTAAACTATGTTTGAACTAATACTAAATTAATTTTTTATAATCAGCATTTCTCAAGTTCATCTGCCATCATGGATCTACAGCTTTTGGAACAGTCCTGCATCATGAGCGCATCTGATTTGATCCAAATTGTCCTTTTTTCTGCAGATCCTATTGGGGAAGATTGGGTGGAGGAAGATGGTGGCTTCAACTATGCTACAGATCTGGTCAAGCACATTCGCTGTGAATTCGATGACTACTTTGATATCTGTGTTGCAGGTGAGCATTAGAAAGACAAGCAGTTAATGGTGTTTGCTAAGCTAAATATCACTGTTGCCATTACCTGGTGGATGATTAAGTTGACAAAAAAACACATAGCCGTTACAAATGTAATGATAGGTTACCCGACGGGCCACCCAGAGGCAGAGAGCTATGACAATGACCTCAGGCACCTGAAGGAGAAGGTGGATGCTGGTGCACACTTCATCGTCACCCAGCTCTTTTTCAGGGCAGAGACCTTCCTCAGATTCGTCAAAGACTGCCGGGCCATTGGCATCACTTGCCCCATTCTCCCGGGAATCTTCCCCATCCAGGTACATCACCACAATCTGACCAATCACAGCACCTCAGTGATAACATCCAGTTATCTCGTCAACCAAACACTGCTGCATAAATTGTCATACGATGCCATGTCATTCCAAAAGACCAATTAAGGGCCACTTTAAGGGATTGTCTTGGCATTTATGCAATGGTGTGATGAATGAATTTATTGCACTACATTTTAGTACAATTAAAAGTAGTACAATTTTAGTGTTATTAGATAGTACTACTGGTTATCTAATACAAACTACTTGTTATCTATAAGCCAGCCCCATAGTTTTCAACCCAAATGTTGTGTTTCGGTCATTTTGACCTGGAGAGAATTTTCTTTTACCTGAAAATTATTCATTTTTTAAATACAGCACAAGGGTTAAAGTACTTCACTTAGCACTTTTCACTCCTAAAGGGATACTGTAGTTCATGCGTATATTAAAATTCTGTCATTTTATTTATTTGTATGTTGAGGTGCGTTCACGCCACGGTGAAATTACTGAATGGAAGAAGCGTTCACATCCTTGAACAACTCATAATTACTACTTGTATTTATGAGACCCTAATGGCTCGTTTCCACTGAGCGGTACGGTACAGTACAGTACAGTACGATTCAGTACGGGTAACCCTGATCAGGCTTGCGTTTTCACTGCTAGTAGTACCTCTGCCTCTTTTTGTTAAATGTCAGTTTTAATGAACAATAATAGCCATTATAAAAGTATAAGAGGCTTATATAAGAGGAAAAAAAGACAAACGCAAACAGTTCAGTCAAATATATGCTATATGCTACAAAGTCAGCGCTGTACTATGGTAAAGTTCAAATTAAATATATAAAGTTAAACATAACTTTGTGCTCAGCCAAAACGATATGACTAGGAACAAATAATAGATTCATGAGACCACGAATGGCTGTTAAATATAGCCTACCCAAAACGAATTGTATCTCATGTTTAATCACTACAGAGACATCAGGGCCAGCGGCAAATGTCGGAAGGACTAGCTGAGCTGAGGCTGCTCTCGGCGGATACATGAGCACTGAGCGCCCGGTGATCGCCTGTAGCTCCGAAATCAGCATAGCAAATTTTCAAATAGGTGCTATCTTTATAAATAAACCGCAGATTTGAGTTTTAAACAATTACATTCTCACCTGAAAAACTCTTAAAACTACATTTCATGAAACAATAACAGTAATATTTAGAAAATTACACGGGTTTTGGGCAATGACGTTTCACAAGTCCACAAGAACGCATATTGAGAAGCAGCTATTGTCTTTGTGAAATTATAAAATACACGGTTATATTTTTTTGTGTTTGCGCACTCTGATGTAAATAAGCCCAACACTCATGGACAGCAAAGCTGAACAAGTGAAGGATGCTTTATCCCCTCGTATCACGCAAAAGTGACGATTCTAGTCAACCAATCAACTTCTGCGGTTAGTTTAGCTCCACCCTTTTGGTACCCTTTGCTGTGCTTGGTACCCCGATGGAAGGGTACCAAAAAAGTGGTACGGTTCGCTATTTTTGTACCATTCACAACTTCTGACAGTGGAAACTTAAATAATTGCGTACCGTACTGTACCCGAACCATACCGCTCAATGGAAACGAGCCATAAGATCTCAGACTTGGACTGTACCATCTAACTGCTGCAACGTCATGCGGAAAAACTAAAAATGGCAGCAGCTTCAGGAGTAAAATGTAGCTAAATATAGGGTAGGCGATTTTGGAGAGACTAACAATAGTAAGCTAGCTTTGAAAGCATAAGAGCCCACCCTCCTTGCAAATCACTCTCCAAAGCCACGCCTTCTGCATGACCGCGCACCGGCAGAGCAGAGGCTAACCAGCGACACGATGAGAGACGGCGCTGGTGGAGGATTGAATGCAACGCTGTCAGATTAGCTCATTTCTCATTGACCGGTGAGAAAACATTACAGTACAAAGCTATTAATATTACAATAATAACGCCTTCCATTCTCGCTCGGTCTGCAATAGCGTAATGAACGCGCTAAGGACGTATCATGTGTGAAAGAGGTTTGCAAATACGTACTTTGACAGGCAGGTAGGATGGCCTATCGTAGCCCTCAGACCGAGAAATATGATTGGCAAACATTTTATGGTCCTACGCCTTCCACAGATGATATAAATACATATGAATACATTTACACCACTTAACTTGGTGCTTGCTATCGGGATGTGAAGAGACTTTCAATGAAATTTTTTTGAACCAAATCACCTACCAGATAGGAATAATAGCAAAAATATTGCAAAATAACAGCTTAAAGACAGAGTAGGTCCAACCCTGTATTTAAGCTGTTATTTTGCAATATTTTGTTTAATAATGTCTCGATTTGATTGAGGTTAATATCTTGATAATACAAAAATGATCTGAAAATATATGAAAGATATGTAAAAAAGTATAATGTAGCTAGCCCAAAATTTAATAATTACCTAATGTCCCGCTAAATAAACTATACATTTACTAATAAAGAATTTGCTATTGAATTCGCTGTTGATTACTCAAATTATGCAGATTTAAAGGGGTCATGAATTGAGAAAGAGGTACTAAAAGAATATCCTTTAAGTTTCAGAACTGAAAACATATTTCTTACTGAAATAAAAGCTTTTATTAACACCAGGACAGCGAACGCCTAATCCTGAAATGTGCCTATCTATGACGTAATAGATAGGTTAAACTCCGCCTCCTAATTCTGTAGCCCCGCCCACTGATTCACACATGACATAGTAGGGATATATCGTAAGTGGCGCTAAACCGGATCGAGCAACCAAGCGATACACATGCCGTTAAAGATCGCAAAATATAGTGCAGTTCCTGGTTGTGGAAGAACACAGTTATTCACACATGACATAGTAGGGATATATCGTAAGTGGCGCTAAACTGGATCGAGCAACCAAGCGATACACATGCCGTTAAAGATCGCAAAATATAGTGCAGTTCCTGGTTGTGGAAGAACACAGTTGCTGCATAACCTTCTTTCAGATTCAAATATTAGGAATGCGTGGTTGAACTTTATTTTCAATGAAGTTTCAGCTCACGGGAGTAAAACATTGAGCGTTTGTTCGCTTCATTTCACTGCGGATTCCTTTGTAAACAAGACACAGGTCGACGCTGGATTTGCAGAAAGACTGAGATTAAAAAGCAATGCAATGTATAGTACCATCTATACTGGATCCGACAGGAATGGCGCAGCACACTTATGTGAGTAA